CGTTTCATCCGTTTTTATGGATTATTACGTATAAATATTACATGTCGGAGATTCACAGATTTTTATACGTTAAATACCACACATTCATCTCGCTTATCAAATGTATTTCGCCTAATTACACTTCAATGCATCACAAGCGCGCCCGCCTTTGCTATTTGGGCGCCGGCTAAAAATTTAATAAATAAATTATGATAAAATGAATAATTAATGGTGCAGTATATGCAAAAAAAAAATTGCATGTATATATGTACAAAAATATCAATAATAAAGATTACTTCGGTGAAATTTCCATTTTTCTCAATATCAATGCATCGTATAAATTTTTTTATGAGAGATTAAAGAACACTCGAATGAGAACAGTGAATTGCTCTCCTAAAGGTGGATGAGCTCTCAAAATCCATTGCATACAGATCGATGGGACAAACTGGTGCTGAGTTTTTCCGGATAAGTTGTTATTATAAATAACATATTATTTTTTTGTACCACGAAATATAAACGACGCAAGAATATTCAAACGCCTCTTATTCATTCCTTAAAACACATTAATTGTTTGTTCAATTGATTTGGAATATTTGGTCATTTTTGAAACATTAACTAATTTTGTAAATCATTCTAAATATCTGATTGAACGAATGAAATCGCGCGAATAAATTAAAATATTAATGTCCGAGAGAGATGAATTAAATTTTTGTAGCGTCCTATAAAACAGAAATAACGTTAGAAGATAACATCTCAATATTTTCATTACGCGACGTACATAAAAATTTTTTAAGTTTTTTAATATTATGAATTAAATAGGCTACATGCTCGAAACAGGAGAGATTGTTATCTTTTGAAAAAAATAATTTGAGCTTCAAAGCACAAAATTTATTTATTTTGCGAGAACACTGCTGCTATGTAAACTTATAGAGAAAAAAATGATGACTTTTTAACTAAATTTAGCAAAATAAACAAAATTATTGTGGATATATGTATATTGTGCATGGACACTCGTGAAACAAATAGTCCATCTTGTTTTAACTGTGCGGTAGAGATAAATCATGTTACAAACAACTTTTTTACTCTTAAAGAGTAATCAATTTGGACGTTAACTACACTGCAAGACATTTCAGAAGCTTTCTATGTTATAATAGTGAGAATATAAAACTGCAGGTCATATTCCTTTCACATCTATTCTTAGTTTAAAAAACTTTTCGATGTATTAAATCAGAAATAAATATCTTTCTCTCTTGAATATTTTTTTTAAATACTTAATATTTATAATTAATAAAAAAAATTTGAAATTACACGCCGTCACGTGCAGCATCAATTAATAAATAGTTTACGAGTTATTTTAGAATTTTTGAAATATTTTATCATTTTTGTAAGCCATAAATAAATATTCAATTGATTAGACAAAATTTCATATAAACATAGACAGCACATTTTGGTAGGCTTGTAAAATTAAATAAAGCGATCAAAATGGTAATTGATTTTAATTAATTTCACTTGTGCAAATTCCTTGACTTACCAAGCGCATGTGTGTTTAAGTTGACAGCATTCTCACAAACTTCTGCGATAGTCATAATAACAGAGAAGATATTCGTGACATTCTGATTGGGGCTAATTAGGTCAATCAGGCAACTGAAGAATGTCCCTGTACTCGTGTTAATCGTCCTTGTACCATGATCTTATTCGCGCGGAATGCTGAAGAGTCGCGAGAAGCACGTGGCGAAGCCACAACGCGCACTGACTGCTCCAAACAGGACAGCTGACGAAGGGTGGAAACTTACCGCCCTCCGCTATCAGACCCCCACCAACGCACCTCTTTCTCTGTCTTCATTCCTTGTATTCTCGATCGTTACATTTTGTGAGATTTATGACTGTAACAGATCGGTCTGTAAATTCGAATATTCGAAAAATATTGTTACAACTATAATGGGAATATGTCATTTTTGTAAGGAAATTTTGCCTAAAACTGAGTGTGAGACTTGCAAATCGATCGATTGTATCGATTAGATTGATTAAATTTTGAGAGCTTTTAATTTTTACATTTGTCTTCAGTTATATTTGCTTGAAATTTGTGGAACTCATTTTCAAGTGAAACGGTGAAACATTAACGATAAAAATCTAGAATAATTGCATTTTATAACTTTTGATAACTACATTTCATTAAAATATTTACATTTTTAGGGAATAAAAGGTCGATAATATTGCAAATTGATATTGTTTACTGTATATCTTAGTTTCTTATTAATGTTAAATTAATAGGTGTCAGCGGGAAAAGTACTGAATGATATATGGTCCTTAATATGATTCTATTAAAGGATGTCCTTATAAGCAATCAATCAGTTGGAAGCACTTGACCATATTTCTGCGACCAAGTGCAAAATGACAGAATCCGTTTTACGACACAACAGCGTTTCATCGCGACACAGGGCATTGCTTTCATTCCCAAGGATGCATTAAGAGGCTCAATTGCGCGGCTCTCCATTAAGTTCTTGCATTCCAGAAAGATTCATCCGACAATGACATTTTTCATATCTGCTTACAGTTAGATTCACTATAGTTAATAAACTTTGTCGTCAACATACAAATCATAATTCAGTCAACTACGACAATTTATTATAATTCTTCGGCAAAATTTTTCAATTAGTTAATGCACGGTACAAATATTCAATTAGATTTGAACGTGATCTAAACCGGATGTGCACTTCGATTAAGTAGTGTCGGGCATCAGCGTAAATTTCGGGCATCAGCGTAATAGTTTCGCTTGGCAGGGATGGTTCTACAAAGTCTACAAGAACCACGAAGGAAGAAGAATTATCTAAGATTAATGATCTTTTTCCTGAAAAGGACAGGAGGACCCTGTCTGTGAGGCGTTTTCAAGTACACAAGGCAGCGTATAAGTTTTCGAGCAAATAGATCCGTACAGAAAGTAAACTACGTTGTCCGCTTGTCGGAAATACGTCAAACATTACGGTCATTCATTGCCTGCTGTAAATATCGGCGACGCCGTTTTTCAGTCAGATCAATTAGATTAATGCGAATCAATGAATCGAAATTATCCACAAATTCATTCCCCGTCGCTATAAGTTTCTTTTAACAATGCGATGCGGGTTCGCGGGTTCCACAATCTCTCATTTCTTCACATTCTGCATCGAAGTAAAGTCTAGTTTATCGAACAAATTCATCGCGCTTGGTTCTTCTTTCGATTCTTTTCTTATCTTAGAAATACGTCATTCTATTAAACAAGATAAGAACATAATTATACAAGATGTTGACATCGACACATTCCCGCTTTCTCGTTTTTCTTATGTTTTTTTACCAGTGAAGATTGGATTCAGTCCGGCAAAGCCGACAAGAAATTTCAAGATAATCGCACGAAGATTACAAAGTGAGGGTAGAGGCTATTTTATATCGGGATCTTTGCAAAAGTGCGTATCATTCGTTCTCGCAAAATGATCATGCGAGACCCATTCCCAGTAAGACTGCGCACGTTCTCATGGGAGGATCAGAACTTCTACAACGGGATATCCGTAGGGATATACCTCATAGGTTTGCATATTACACACATATTTTTCTGTCGCTTGGTATCTTATACAATTCCTAGCAATAAATGAAGAACATTTTCTGAATCACATACATATTAAATATATATTATTTGATGCAAAATAGATGCAAAATAGATGCTTGCTCGTAAATTTTACATACAGGATGAGAAGTTGCTGAAATTAATTAGCTGTTATTTTTATGCATATAAAAAGCGAAAAAGGTAAAATACTCTCTAACAGAGAATACTTTGCAGTTTTATTTATACATATAAACTAAAGACAATATTTTTATTATTAAATAAATGTTCATAGAAAATGTCAAATGTTGCTAATTTTAATGGTATATATATTTTCGAAGAGTGTGCATTGTCAGAATTATAACAAAAATCACTTTCAGAAACTATAACTGTAACTGTGACTTTTGTTACATAAAGTTTTTTATAGTTTTTTAAAAGCGACTTAATTTTTATTAAAGTTAGCAAAATTTAGCATGACAGCTAATTAGTTTCAGTAACTTTCCATAGGACATTCTGTTATGCCATTATCCCAATGATATATTTGCAATGTCATTTTAAATTATAGCGTGCTATATGCTATTGCTTCTATGCTATTGATGTAAAAATGTAATATACATCCATAGACTTTTATGTGTTATTAAAAGTTTATTAAAAATGACGCGCTATAGAGTTAATTACTATTTTAATTATATTAAGAATCTCACAAAACTGTTAAATGTTAACTGTTAACATCACACATGATATTTACATAATGCATTAGAATAATTTGGAATTATTATTATAAACTCCTTGCCAACGCGAAATTTTACCGACCTTGATTACGACGACGTAGATTCTATAGCGGTACATTTTCGATGCAAGAGGCTCGTATCGGACGTGATTTAATTGCACGTCAATCTTTCGTTGAGCGAGAGTCCTCGAGTTATACGGACTTCTCTATAGTAAAGCGACGCATTATGTATATGCGCGAGTTAATATTCCAATTCGTACCGTACCGCGATTAAAAGAATTAAATGCATTCTTAATTTTTATTTCATGGCAAAATTCGTTCACAACATAAAAATTCAAGGTTCCAATGTTTTTTCTCTTATTATGATAATCATTCATATTATCCATTAATCATAATTGAATAATAATAAAGTACGTAACTGCATGTAAGAATAATTACAATGAAGTTGTATCGTGACATTGCGTTTTCATCGTCGCGCTGAGAATCATATTGGCGCTCATTAAAGTAAGAGGTCACGTAAAAAAAAAAAAGACAGGTATTTAAATCATTCATCATGTTGTTTGTATCACTCTAAAAAATGATATATCACGTATATATATATAATTTTAGCTTCTAGAATCTAATTAGATAACTTCGAGAAATAATGAAAAAGATATTTTGATTTCAATTTTAATTCACTTTAAACAGTTTTAAATTGCAAAAATGCATCGTGACATTGCATTTTTGTGATCTCGCTGAGAATCACTGGCGTTTATTCAAAGTAGGAAATCTCGTAAAAAAATAAACACGGATATTTCAATCATTTATCATTGCTTGTGTCATTCTAAAAAATGACATAAAAATTGTAGCTTTTAGAATCTATAATAATTACGTAACTTCAAGAAATAAAAAAATATCTTGATAATATTTCAATTTTTCATTCACCTTGAACAGAATTTTAAATTGCAAAGACACATCGTGACATTAGCATTTTTATGATCACATTGAGAATCATACCAGCACTTGTTCAAAGTAGGTCTCGTGAAAAAAATTAACACCTACGTGAGACAATTGCGAGCTTCTGTCATTGAGTGTCTTCGATCGGACCAAATCTGGTAGCGGCTCGCAATTTCCGTCACCTCCAAACAGGATGAGCGACACATCCCATCACGTCCTTCGATACGAAATTCATTTTCACATACAAGGTGTCACATGCGCATTACAGTACCGACCTTAATTTTCATAGCAGAGTTTCAGAGATTGATTTTAATTTTAATTTTTGATTAAAACATTGAGACGATATTTCTTGTTTCTATTCCAGAATCTATTCCAGAAAATTGCGTACAAACGATTGGAAATCTCATCATTTAGTTATATCACAGATACGTAGCCTTCGTCTAGCAAGAAGTATTTCCTTTTGTTCTAAAACTTGCAAATTTGCACGTAAAGCGAAAGATAGGCAATACCATACATAGAACTTGGAAAGCGACCGAAACTTTGCGCGCGAAGGCGACAACGCGTTCCTTTTGGAACCTGAGGATATCTCCCTTTTCATCCCAAATCATATCATATCTTGGACAACAATACCAATCTCAACGAACAGTGTGACAATTAAAGGCTCAGACAAAAGATTCAAGCTTATTGTATAAATAAATCTCTAATAGAAGCAAAATAGAATGTGTACATCGGAATACGTAGTACTTGAAACGCATTTGTGAAATGGCATTGAGAAGATGTTTATTAGCGACGCAATATGAATTTGCAATGAAAATAAATGAGAGATAAATGCGTATTAAATATGCTAGAAGTACATTTAGTTTGAAGTGATGCAAGAGAATATACGAAGAATATATAAATTGTTATATTCGATGCAACATTCTCCGACTCTTTACATTTTCCTTATCGACAAATCAATTTTCAATCATTTCTTTATTGCATGACTTTATTTTATTACTTCGCGCGTATATAGTAATAATAAAAAATGTACATGGAGAAAATTTTATATAAAAAATTACTATGTACGGCAGTAGCCGCCGTAAAGAGATTATAAAAATTTTTATTACGTTTTTCACATAATGGCACATAATATTTAATTGTAATTTCTCTTATGATCTGCGGCTACTACCGCATCCCAATAATTTTTAATATAAAATTTTCTCCGTGTATAAATGTACAAATGGAAAAACTAAATTTAAATTAGCAATAATTTAAAAGGAAAAAATAAGCTACTCGCCATCGTTTCGACATCGTGTTATATTTTAACATAATTTAAACATAAGACTTCTGACATTAAGATGCAAATCGTATGAATAATAAAAAAAACCAAAAAATCGGAATTTTTTAATATTCAAGATTGAAGCGTTATACAACAAGGAATAATTAATAATTATTTTACACTAAAGATGACCAAAAACAAATAGGTCGAAACGTTTATGAACATGTTTTGAAAAATAAATGATTTGCTGAACAATATTACCTAGCTTCGACTCTAGTAGCTTATTTTTTCCTTTTAAATTATTGATTTAATATAAGAGCCAATTTTAAAGATTTGATTTATTAATCGTTAAATTAGCAAAACATAATTGCGCAGAAACAGTCTAACGATCAAAAACATAGTATACAAATCGCCGCAATCCCGCTCGTCGCGCTGTTCACGTCGTGTACTTTCCCGTATCATCTAACTTTAATCCCAAGCGGGCCACTCGTAGATCTTTAATCCCTTGTTCGTGAGCAGAAATCTCCGCACTATCGTTTCCTATCCGAATCTAATCTCCACGATTCACCCGTTTCTTACTCTCATTACACCAACGGAAGTTCATCACAGACGGATGACTTGCATTGTTTTGCCGCTACTAATTACTTTTTCCATTTTCTTTTCACAATTTCTATGAGTTGTAAAAATCACATTCGCGAAAATATAAATTGATTACTGTCCTACAACTCTAAGAAGAAAACACTTGTAATAATTTTTTTTTTTTCGATTTTGATAAGCTTTGAATAGCTATAAAATAATTCATTAATTTAACTTTCTAAGTTTCTCGTGCAATCAAAATCTGATATTTTTTAAAATTTGCTTTCTCTTTTCAGCATTTTTGTAAATTTTAATTATTTACAAAAACAAAATTTGAATAATGTTATTTAAATTTATTGGGATATCAAAATTTATTTCTACGTTCGACAATTGAAGATATTAAAGCAGTAGATATTTATGGACTGAATGACCTTGATAGGAAAATAAGTGCAATCAGCCATGTGGATAGAACTGACGGCCAGAACAATGTAGAATTATGCAAAATGATGTAATGACCCATACATTGATGCACCTAATAGCACAGTTTAGTATATGTTTTATACGTGCTCTGTTATCTTGTTACATAAACCTCTATAGCGCTATAAAAAAATAAAGATTACTAGAAGCGTGTAAGTACTTAAAAATTGTCCCACGCATTTATTGCTAAATCATTATTCATAAAAAGTTAATGGATTTATAAAATTGTTTCTCTTCATCATATCGTACATTTAGAAGCTTTGAGAGTCTAGGTTGAATAGAGAATTAATTGCAGCTAGATGCATTTCATTTTTGCTTCTACTCTTCGGAAGCATCTCTTGCCACGTACGATTAAATGAATGCAAATCTATGCAAGTTTTTTGCGTAACAATGTCACAAGAAACATTACACGTGTTTTTTTTTGTAATAAATATCTCACGGCACATCTCTAGGCGCAAATTTCGTCATATTTTTTGCGCCTCGGGCAAAGGGAATTAAAAGTTGCTGAGTGGCAAGTTTTCACCAAGTAAAACTGTTACACGTAACGTTACTTTCGGCAATAATTCATCACGATGAATTATTCGTTACGTTTAAATTAATTATGTAAATTATGTAAGTGTTTCTTATTATCTCTTATTCTTATTCATCCTCTACTTTTATAACCGCAATAGTATTCTAAAAAATCGAAATTCCACACATCTTTATCTCATTCCATGTCCTTCATCGCATTCGAAAAAAAGCGAAAAAAAAGATATACACGATTCGATCACCTTTCAGGAATCATAATCGTAAATTCAATTTATCTCTTTTCTATTATCTCATCCATATTAAAGCGCGGATCTCTTTTAAAGTCGGCAAAACTAGTTTCCTTTATCTGTCTGCACACATGGGCGATGTATTAAATTTCTTGCACTACCTATAATGCACAATTGCATTCTCTCAAGCAACCCGATGCTACTAAAATCACGTGTTTGCTAAAGTTACAGAACTTTTACTCGAATTTCTTAAAAACAAATCCACCCCTGCAAACGAGTGGGCGGGGACAAAAAACGACGAGCGAAAGCAAGTTAAAAGCGGAAATTCACTACGGAGGACTCTTCAGGGCAGCACCATCAGCGATATTCAAAATCTTTTCTCCTCACTTGCTATCATTGTTACCGTTCGCCACTTTGACCTACGCCGTCGTCTGCGTCTGCTTTTTGACTCGGAACTTTACTGATAACCCACATTGAACATCGTTTCGATTCGTAAGAATTCAGCCTTGCAAACGTAAGCGTCATCGCCGCTTTTAAATAGTTTAGAATAGTTTTTATCGAATTTATTACCAGAAGCACAACTAAACGTAAATTGACACATGGAATAAAAAATGTATACGATTGGATATTCAATGTTATTCAATCGATTTTGACAAACTGCTTTTCAACTCCGAAAAGCAACAACTGATGAGAAAATTTTAAAGTTATCTTAAAATTTATAAATAAAAATATTACGGTCAAGCCGCGTTGAATATTATCGCTTGTTATAAATTTTTTAAAGTAATTATACAATTCATATCGCACATCCACAAGTAAAGTCGAAATTTTTTAAATTTTGTTTTATATGCAGATTGTCAAAAATTGGCCGAAACGTATATAGATTGTGTAATTGTTTTTAAAAAATGTATAACAAATAATAATATCCAGCGCGGCTATGTTTAAAAGTGAACTTATTAAACTTTTTTTAAGCATATTGATAAGATTGATAAACTAAAGGAAAAAAAATTTATTTTGCGATTATACTATCTATTTGCTACTCGAATACACATTCAATTAAGTATAACTTCAGTTTTATCTATCCAAACAGTTATTTTCTGTGTTTTTATGCTGTATGCTCATATATTAGCAATTGCATGTACATGAAACACGATCAAATATTTCCGTCGCGCAAACCGATATGATGTACATTATTAGGAGCAGACCGTAACCGACCACCCTAACGAGTTTGCTAATCCTTTGGTAGAAGGATGCCTTCTATTGAACGGTCCGTGTCCCTCGTATTATCCCGTTGATCCTGTTTAAGTTTATATACTAGCAAAAGGAGCCGTACTCAAGATCGGACAAAGTAAATTACTTGCTAAAATTTGCAAAATCCACACTTGAAAGCGTGTTTTACAATAATTACCGTTAATTAAAATTATTCAACAACTAAAATTTTTTATACATTGCTCAAATTTTTAATTTTTACGAAAATGTTAACATTAAGAGTTTGCCATCAGTAAAAATATGTGTGATGTATATTTGCAATTATTATTATATTAGGGAATTGTCTAATATAAGAATTTCGAAAAAAATTATCATTGTAATACACATGTGTGTAAGTAATACACATTATAAGACGTGTGATCGACATGTAATCTGTAATTTTATCGTGATGTTAATGCTTGCGCAATTATAATATCTAAACGTACATAACTATGTTATTTGATTCGTCCAAATCTTCATAATTATTTATACAAAACATGTATCTATAAATACTTTAAGAGCTCTCTTCATCATTTTTACGTACGTTTTCATATACGCGCTTTTGTATTCGTTCCATTCAACAGATCTTACAACTGAAAAAATATTCTCATGATGAAATCTTATAATTAAAATTCCTCTAACAATAAACCGAACAACAATTATATAGAATAATAGACAAGTCTTCGAATTTAACAAATCGCGGTAAATAAAAAATTTCTTTGTTAACATTATATAATATTGAGTAACAACTTGCTAAAAACTGATTAGTCATTATATTAGCATAGCATTAGTATAGGATTAGTATAGTATAGGATAGCATGGCAGAGATAGTAGTTTACGATGAATTAACAAAAACTGTGCGATGCCACGAAAGAAACACGCAATTGTACGTTTCCAGAGTCAATACAAACAAAGATCTCTAACTGAAAACTTAATTCAGAGCCTTTTATTGCAAATTCCTAACAGATATAATTAAATAAACAACAAATAAAATATTTTGTGAATGTTTCTATAACTTCTATTAGTCGTTAAAGTAATGACGTTTACATGATGTTTTCTTTAGCATAACTCCTGCCTATTGCCTATATAATATATTTTTTTCCATTTAAAATATTGTATGCCAGTAAATTCTTTTTCCCACGTTCTTCGATGCGCTCCAACCATGTTTCGATTTTATTACATTAAACACAAATTAAAAAAAAAAATTTTGTCATTTTTCAATATGACATATGCAAATGTTTGTCTTCCCCCAACTCCTTGATTACTGTTATCGGTGAACTAACAGTGGTGAGGGTAAGACTTTAAAAGGACAACAACGACTCAACAGATCAGCAGTCCGTCATAAAATTATTATCCCGATGGAACGTTGGGCGGGAAAAGTTGCATTAGTTACCGGAGCGAGTGTAGGAATTGGCGCGGACGTGACTCGAGCTCTCGCTGAAAATGGTATGAAAGTGATTGCCGTCGCGAGAAGATTGGAAAATTTACAACAATTGGCAGAGTCTCTTAAACGCAAATGTAAAGCGGAAGTGTATCCAATGCAATGTGATGTCCGACAGGAAAAAGATATTCTTAAAGTGTTCCAATGGGCGGAGAAAGAATTAGGCGGTGTTGATGTGCTCATTAATAACGCCGGTGTGCTTTCGACTCAATCGATTATAGGTAAATTAGGATATTTTCTTCTTTATTCCTTTTTTTCCTTCTTTTCTGCGAAAACGCGATTTAACTATAGATAGTTTTTCATATAATAGTAAACTTTATCAAATTTATATATCAGTTCATTATTAATAACGTAATTAGAAATTTTATTTGCCATTAATAACTTATTGATAAATTAAATTTTTGAAAATAAAACAAAGATAAAAAAAAAGAACAATATGAGCCGTTCAGAAGATAAAATAAATATCTCCATTTTTTGCAATTATTTTCACAATTTTAACAGCAAAACACATAATTGGTGTTTAACTTTGTAAAATAAATAACTTTGATAATTCTATTTATCAAAGATGGCCTCAAGATGGCCAAATTTTTTTAAGATTTCAAAAATTATTACTACTAAAATGTTTCGATTCTGTTCGAATTATGCTTCTATTGCGAAAAAGTACTTGTTACCTTAAAACCGAGTTGGATATTTCTCAGAAGCAACACAATTTTAATTATCCGTAAAATTAATGATGCTTTTTTTAACATCTTTATAATGAAAATATTTCAAGTTGGTTTCACACATTTTATAGTATTCGCAATTCTTTGTTAAAAGAGGGATCGACGGATGAATATCATAAAATTCTGGATGTGAATGTAATCGCAGCGGCAATTTGTTCGCGACAGTTGGCGCAATCCGTTAAAAAACGAAAAGCGTCAGGTCACATCATTAATATTAACAGGTACAAAATAAATTATTCTATACTTTATTATTAAGTGTATTAAATGCGAAATAGACTTTAACTGGAGAATAAATCAATTAGTAACATATATTAATTAAAATAATTATAAGAAATATTTGCAAAGAAATCTTTTGATAATTCGATTAATTAATAATTTTGTGTAAAACAAACAATTTCTGAATATTGATTCGACAAGAAGCGGTAAAACATTAAATGTGCGATCTATGCTACCCAGCAGTAATGTGTCATAAAAAGCTAAATCGTAGCTGATTCGCACTATCGAATGATATCTGCTTTCAGTTTATTAATTCTTACCGAAATCCTAAAGTTATATATTCTTTTTACAAAAATATTCTTGCCAAAATATTCATTCTTACAATTTCGACGATTTTTCGAGAGTATCAAAAAACGTGCATTCCAACTTTCATCGTTTTTTGTTTAATTAAAACTCATGCTTATATATTTGTCTATATATGTATATTCATGATTTAAGATGCGGTTTTCAACCATTTTACCTTTACTCTTTTTACTTTTTTGACTCTTTTTTTGACACTGTTAATTTATTTTTATTTTATTTACAGTATAGCAGGACATTATGCAAGCAACATGGTTATGCCAATGAGTGTGTATTGTGCCAGTAAATATGCAATCACTGGCATGACTGAAACTCTGCGCACCGAATTAAGAGCCGCCCAAATCGATGTAATAGTCACGGTATGCAAATTTTTATATTAAAATTGTTGTTAAAAGTTCTTCGGACTTGTGCAATGTTAATCAAAACTAGTAAATAAATATGTATGTCAATAAATAACTTTGTTTGATAATATTTAATATCTCTTTTTCAACATCATAAGAGATAATCAGAAGTTTGCAATAATAATGATAAAATAACAAATATATACTGTTATTAAGAAATAAATGATATTTTCAAAACAACAGAGCATCAGCCCTGGCGCCGTAAAAACAGATATGATATTAGAAATCTTCCCCGACGCTGAAAAACACTTACCTATGCTACATGATAAGGATATTGCAGATGCAGTGATCTATTGCCTACAGGTGCCGCCTCGCGTACAGGTAAGTTTTTTAAAGAATAATATAATAATTTATATTTTCTTTATTCTGCATTCTTTCTTATTTTTGCACCGTAGATCTGCAAAAAAAAATTAAAAAAATTAAATTTGAGCAAAATAAAAATTATATTGAATAAATAATAATAACATATGCATGTTCGTAAAAATAATACGTATTTCAGTACTCTGTTAATTGATAAAACAATTTTTATCGCAAAATTTGTAACAAATGTCAAAAACTACAACATTTTACATACACAACGCGGTTTTTTTTTTAATTTTCCTATAATTTTTTGTCTGAATTATGCAACTTTAAAACTAACCCTACATTTTGCGAAAAGTAACGTTTACCATCGGCAGTAGCATTACGTAGTAGAAATACAGGTTTAGCTTCAAAGTTGTATAACTCGACCTAAAAAAAAATCGTAGTAAAATTTATATAAACGTGTTTTGTAAGCAAAATGTAATTTTTGACATTTGTTATAAATGCCGCAAAAAAAATTTTTTTATTGTATTGTAGTGTTGAATGTACAAAATTTTTAAAACGAAATAATTTGTTCTTTTGAGTTAATAAAAATTAAAAATATTAAAAAAAAATTAAAAGCACATAAAAGTACAAACTTGAGGATTTCAAATTTTTTTCAATTTTTGGTATGCAAATAATTTTTCGTCGAGTTTCAATGATCGATAAAAATTACTCGATTTTGAACGTCGGAAAAGTATTTTCCATTTTTTGTGGAATACGAAGTATAATATGATGATACAAATGTGCTACTCAAGCAACTTCACAATGTTGCATTATAATAATAAATTGCACAAATTAATTATAGTTTAAGTTGAACATTAATTTCATTCTAATTAAACAATCGTATTTTATCTGTTGCAGATATGGGAAATTACATTAGCACCAAATAACTGGGGCTTAAGCGATTCAGCCTTAGCTGGCTCTAAGCTATCGCAAAAGCCTGACAAAATAAAAAAGTAGAATAACAAAACAACAAAATATACTGAGACATATCAAAACGAAAAATAAATACAGTAAAATAGAAATTTTAAACTAAGATTTTCATATTTATATATTTTTCCAAAACTGTAATAACAATTTTTATTTAAAAAAATTAGAAAAATTATTAATTGTATTTCCCAGCAATACTTACTTTCTTTTAAGTTGTAACGGTTCTTTTAAGTTGTAACGGTAATTTACAAATTTATATGTAAATTTATATGTAAATAACATTAATTGTGAAATCTGAAAATAAAATCGAAATTATTTACGAATCACTTATTAAAAATTATTTAGAATTAAGTTTATCTGCTCCTCAGTAAGAAAAAACTTAAATTACCGATAATTTAATAAATGAATAATAATGCAATTTTTGCATATCTTGCTCAGAAAATGAAATCGGTAGCGTTTAAGTAATCGAGTATATTTATTTCTCTGCAGATTTACGCAGAGTATAATAAGACACACAGTGTGCCTCTGTGTAATATATTAACATATCTCTCGTTACGTTTGCAATTTCATTACATCACATCAAACGGGCGTGATGCTGGAATTGCCGGTTATGTACACATTCTTGTATTAAACTGAGCTGGAAAATAAAATTAGAAAATGTACAACCATTGCAATTTGTGACACATTTAGAAACGATCAACATCAATGGCATAGCACGAACTCGCATCATCGTCCGCCAAGATTTACAATAATTGATTCGAAAGAAGTAAAAGGAGACTTAAAACAGGAATAGTAATACATTTTGTGTACCTTTAGCTTAAGAATTAATAGCATTGGTCGAGTATTGTTAAAATTTCTTTGTTTACATTACAAAAATTGAATAACAACTTATTAAAAACTGATTAGTCATTATATCAGTATAGCAAATTAGTATAGCAAAAATATCAGTTTATGATGAATCAGCAAAAACTGTGCGATGCTACGAAAGAAAACAGCAACACGCAATCGTACATTTTCCAGAGCTAATAGAATCGGAGATCACAGATTGAAATCTTAATTTATAGCCTTTTATCGTAAGTTTCTACCAAATAAAATTAAGTAGAGTATACTTTATCAAATAATAGAAGTTATACAAACTTTCGCAAACAATATTTTGTATGTTATTTATTTAATTTTATCTAGCAGGAGCTTACGACAAAAGGTTATAAATTAAAATTTCAATCTGTGACCTCCAAGCGCAAAAACGTGAAGAAAAAAATTTACTGACATGAAATATTTTAAATGTGAAAAATTATATTGTATAAGCAGATAATGTTTAGCGATTTAAAATATTTCATGGCAGAAATTTTTTTTTCTCACGTTCTTGCGCTCCGGTCACGTTTTTGATTTTATTACTTTAGACACAAATTAAAATAAAATTATCTTGTCATTTTTCACATATGATGTGTGCAACTGCTCGTCTCCCTCCTAAGTCAATTAATCGTTGAGTACCGTTATTGCCGAGCCAACATTGGTGAGGGTATAACTATAAAAGAACAGCAGCGACTCAACAGATCGACAGTCCGACATAAAATTTATATCGCAATGGAACGTTGGGCGGGGAAAGTTGCGTTAGTTACCGGAGCGAGTGTAGGAATTGGCGCGAAAGTAACCCGTGCTCTCGCTGAAAATGGTATGAAAGTGATCGCCGTCGCGAGGAGATTGGAAAATTTACAACAATTGGCAGCGTCTCTTAAACGCGAATTTAAAGCGGAAGTATATCCAATGCAATGTGATGTCCGACAAGAAAAAGATATTCTTAATGTGTTCCAATGGGCGGAGAAAGAATTGGGCGGTGTTGATGTGCTCATCAATAACGCCGGTGTGACTTCCACACAATCGATTATAGGTAAATTACGATATTTTCTCCTTTTTTTTCTTTTTTCCTTCTTTTACGAAAACGCGATTTAACTATAAATACTTTTTCGTATAATAGTAAACTTTATCAAATTTATATATTAATTTATTATTAATAACGTAATTAGAAGTTTTATTTGCCATTAATGGCTTATTGATAAATTAAAGTTTTGAAAATAAAACAGATAAAAAAAAAAGAACGATATGAGCCGTTTAGAAGATAAAATAAATATCTCAATTATTTGCAATTATTTGTACAATTTTATCAGCAAAGCACATAATTGGTGTTTAACTTTTTAAAACTTAAATAAATTACTTTGATAATTCTATTTATCAAAGATGGCCTCAAAATGCCCAATTTTTTTAAGATTTTAAAAATTATTACTACTAAAATGTTTCGATTCTGTTCGAATTATGCTTGTTGCGAGAAAGTACTTATTACCTTAAAACCGAGTTGGATATTTTTTAGAAGCAACACAATTTTAATTATCCGTAAAATTAGTGTGTTTTTTTTAATATCTTATAATAGGAATATTTTAAGTTGGTTTTACACATTTTATATTATTCGCAATTCTTTGATAAAAGAGGGATCGACGGATGAATATCACAAAATTCTGGATGTGAATGTAATCGCAGCGGCAATTTGTTCGCGACAGTTAACGCAATCCGTTAAAAAACGAAAAGCGTCAGGTCACATCATTAATATTAACAGGTACAAAATAAATTATTCTATACTTTATTATTAAGTGTATTAAATGCGCGCGCGAAATAGACTTTAACTGGAGAATAAATCAATTAGTAGCATACATTAATTAAAATAATTATAAGAAATATTCGCAAAGAAATATTTTGATAATTCGATTAATTAATGATTTTGTAAAACAAACAATTTCTGAATATTGATTCGACAAGAAGCGGTAAAAAATTAAATGTGCGATCTATGCTAACTAGCAGTAGTGCGTATATGAAAAACTAATTTGCAGCTGATACGCGCTGTCAGATGACATCTGCTTTCAGTTTGTTAATTCTTACCGAAATCCTAAAGTTAAATATTTCTTTTTACAAAATTATTCTTGCCAACATATATATTTTTACAATTTTGACGATTTTTTGAGAATATCAAAAGACGTGCATTCCAACTTTCATCGTATTTTGTTTCATGAAAATTCATGTTTATCATATATTTGTTTATATATGTATATTCATGATTTAAGATACGGTTTTCAACCATTTTACCGTTACTTGTTTTACTTTTTTGACTCTTTTTTGACACTATTAATTTTTTTTCATTTTATTTACAGTATAGCAGGACATTATGCAAGCAACATGGTTATGCCATTGAGTGTGTATTGTGCTAGTAAATATGCTATCACTGGCATGACTGAAACTCTGCGCAACGAAGTAAAAGTCGCTCAAGTCGATGTAATAGTCACGGTATGCAGATTTTTATGTTAAAATTGTTGTTGAAAGTTCTTCAGACATATGCAATATTAATCAAAGCTAGTAAATAAACATGCATGTCAATAAATAACTTAGTTTGATAATATATCATAAGAGATAATCAGAGATTTGCAATAATAATAATAAAATAACAAATATATTCTGTAACTAAACGATATTTTCAAAACAACAGAGCATCAGCCCTGGCGTCGTAAAAACAGATATGGTATTGGATAATTTCCCCGAAGCTGAAAAGAACTTACCTATGCTACATGATAAAGATATTGCAGATGCAGTGATCTACTGCCTACAGGTGCCGCCTCGCGTACAGGTATGATTTTTAAAAAATAATATAATAATTTATATTTTCTTTATTCTGCATTCTTTCTTATTTCTGCACCGTAAATCTGTAAAAAAAAAAATTTTTAATTAAATTTGAGCAAAATAATAAATGTACTGAATAAATAATAATTACATATGCATGTTTGAAAAAATAATACGTATTTCAACACTATGTAACTTGATAAAACAATTTTTATCGCAAAATTTGTAACAAGTGTCAAAAACTACAACATTTTACCTACACTACGCGGTTTTTTTTCAAATTTTCCTACGATTTTTTTGGTCTGAATTATGCAACTTTAAAAGTAACCTTAAATTTTGCGAAAAGTAACGTTTACCATCAGCAGTAGCATTACGTAGTAAAAATACAGGTTTAGCTTCAAAGTCTTTTAACTTGACCAAACAAAAAAATCGTAGTAAAATTTTAAAAAACATGTTTTGTAGGTAAAATGTTTTAGTTTTTGATACTTGTCATAAATTCCGCGAAAAAAAAAAACATTTTATTACGTTGTACCGTTGTACCGTTCAATGTACGAAATTTTAAAAACAAAAGAATTTATTCTTTCGAGTTAATAAAAATTAAAAATTAAAAAAAAATTAAAAGCACAAAAAGTACAAACTTGAAGATTTCAAATTTTTTTCAATCTTTGGTATGCAAATAATTTTTTGTCGAGTTTCAATGATCGATAAAAATTACTCGATTTTGAACGTCGGAAAATTATTTTCCATTTTTTGTGGAATATGAAGTATAACATGTTGATACAAATGTGCTACTCAAATAACTTCAAAATGTTGCATTATAATAAAAAATTGTAAAAATTAATTATAATTTAAATTGAACATTTATTTCATTCTAATCACACAATCGTATTTTACCTGTTGCAGATATGGGAAATCACCCTGGCGCCAAATAACTGGAACATAAACGATTTTGTCCTAGCTAGATCTAAGCTATCGCAAAAGCCCGACGAAGTAAAAAAGTAGAATAACACAACAACAAAATATACTGAAACATATCAAAACAAAAAATAAATACAATAAAATAAAAATTTTAAACTAAAATTTTCATATTTATAATTTTTCCACAACAGCGATCACAATTTTTAATAGAAAAAATTAGAAAATTTATTAACTGTATTTCCCAGCAGTCCTTACTTTCCTTTAAGCTGTAACGATGCAAATTTATATGTAAATAACATTAACTATAAAATCTGAAAACACAATAAAAAATAATTACGAATCACTTATTAAAAATTATTTAGGATTAAGTCAATCTGCTCTTCTATAAAAAAATAACTTAAATTACCGATAACTTAATAAATGAATAATAATGAAATTTTGGCATACCTTGCTCTGAAAATGAAATCGGTAGCGTTTAAGTAATCGAGTATATTTATTTCTCTGTAGATTTACGCAGAGTACAATGCTAATCACACACACAATGTGTCTCTGTGTAATATATTAATATATCTCTCGTTACGTTTACAATATCATTACATCACATCGAACGGACATGGTGCTGGAATTGCCGGTTATGTACACATTCTTGTATTAAATTGTGTTGGAAAATGAAATTAGAGAATGTACAATCATTGCGATTTGTGACACATTTAGAAACGATCAACGTCAATGGCATGGCACGGACTCGCGTCTTCGTCCGCCAAGATTTACAATAATCGAGATTAACGAGATTACGAATAATATATCGGACGTATTGATTCGAGAGAAGTAAAGGGAGACTTAAGACAGGAAGAAAAATTCATTTTGCATACCTTTAGCTAAAGAATTAATAGTATTGGTCGAGTATTGTTAAAATTTCCTTGTTTACATTACAAAATATTGAGTGACAACTTGCTAAAAACTAATTAGTCATTATATCAGTATAGCATTAATATAGCAGAAATATCAATTTACGATAAATCAGCAAAAACTTGCGATGTTGCGAAAGAAAACTGCAACGCAATTATACATTTTCCAGAGCCAATAGAATCAAAGGTCAAATAAAAATTAATCTATAGCCTTTTATCGCAAACTTTTACCACATAAAATTATGTAAGTAGACAAAATAATGTTTATGAAAGTTTGTATAATTTCTATTATTCGTTAATTATGCTTTAACAAATAATAGAAATTTAAAAAAATTTAAATATTTTAAAACTTATATTTATAAATATAAATTTTAAAAAATTATTAATTCTCAATAGATGACGTATAGATGATGTTCTCTTTAGCATAACTGCTGTCTACTGCTTATATAATATATTTTTTACATTTAAAACGTTTCATGCCAGTAAATTATTCTCCCACGTTTTTGCGCTCCGACCATGTTTTTGATTTCATTACTTTAGATGACACGCACAAATTAAAAAAAAATAATCTTGTTATTTCTTAGATACGACGTGTGCAATTGCTCGTCTCCCTCCTAAGTCAATTAATCGTTGAGTACCGTCATTGGTGAGCTAACATTGGTGAGGGTAAAACTATAAAAGGACTGCAGCGACTCAACAGATCAGCAGACCGACATAAAATTATTATCGCGATGGAACGTTGGGCAGGAAAAGTTGCGTTAGTTACGGGAGCGAGTGTAGGAATTGGCGCAAAAGTAACCAGTGCTCTCGCTGAAAATGGTATGAAAGTGATCGCCGTCGCGAGAAGATTGGAAAATTTACAACAATTGGCAGCGTCTCTTAAACGCGAATTTAAAGCGGAAGTATATCCAATGCAATGTGATGTCCGACAGGAAAAAGATATTCTTAATGTATTCCAATGGGCGGAGAAAGAATTGGGCGGTGTTGATGTACTCATTAATAACGCCGGTGTGATTTCGTCTAAAACAATTATAGGTAAATTATGATATTTTCTCCTTTTTTTTCTTTTTTCCTTCTTTTACGAAAACGCGATTTAACTATAAATACTTTTTCGTATAATAGTAAACTTTATCAAATTTATATATTAATTTATTATTAATAACGTAATTAGAAGTTTTATTTGCCATTAATAGATTATTGATAAATTAAAGTTTTGAAAATAAAACAAAGATAAAAAAAAGAACGATATGAGCGGTTCAAAAGATAAAATAAATATCTCCATTTTTTTATCAGCAAAATACATAATTGGTGTTTAACTTTTTAAAATAAATTACTTTGATAATTCTATTTATCAAAGATGGCCTCAAGATGGCCAAATTTTTTGAAGATATCAAAAATTATTACTACTAAAATGTTTCGATTCTGTTCGAATTATGCTTCTATTGCGAAAAAGTACTTGTTACCTTAAAACCGAGTTGAATATTTTTCAGAAGCAACAAAATTTTAATTATCCGTAAAATTAGTGTGCTTTTTTAAATATTTTTATAATAGGAATATTTTAAGTTGGTTTCACACATTTGATGTTATTCGCAAATCTTTGTTAAAAGAGGGATCGACGGATGAATATCACAAAATTCTGGATGTGAATGTAATCGCAACGGCAATTTGTTCGCGACAGTTGGTGCAATCCGTCAAAAAACGAAAAACGTCAGGTCACATCATTAATATTAACAGGTACAGAATAAATTATTCTATACTTTATTATTAAGTGTATTAAATGCGAAATAGACGTTAACTGGAGAATAAATCAATTAGTAACATATATTAATTAAAATAATTATAAGAAATATTCGTACAACGCAAAAAAATCTTTTGATAATTCGATTAATTAATAATTTTGTGTAAAACAAACAATTTCTGAATATTGATTCGACAAAAAGCGGTAAAACATTAAATGTGCGATCTATGCTACCTAGCAGTAGTGCGTAATGAAAAGCTAAATCGCAGCTGGTATGCGCTGTCAAATGACATCTGCTTTCAGTTGTTAATTCTTACCGAAATCCTAACGTTATATATTCTTTTTACAAAATTATTCTTGCCAACATATACATTCTTACAATTTCGACGATTTTTCGAGAGTATCAAAAGACGTGCATTCCAACTTTCATCGTATTTTGTTTCATTAAAATTCATGTTTATATATTTGTCTATATATGTATATTCATGATTTAAGATGCGGTTTTCAACCATTTTACTTTTACTCTTTTTACTTTTTTGACTCTTTTTTTGACACTGTTAATTTATTTTTATTTTATTTACAGTATAGCAGGACATTATGCAAGCAACATGGTTATGCCAATGAGTGTGTATTGTGCTAGTAAATATGCTATCACTGGCATGACTGAAACTCTGCGCAACGAAGTAAGGGCCGCTCAAGTCGATGTAATAGTCACGGTATGCAGATTTTTATGTTAAAATTGATGTTAAAAGTTCTTCAGACATATGCAATATTAATCAAAGCTAGTAAATAAATATGTATGTCAATAAATAACTTAGTTTGATAATATTTAATATATCTCTTTCTTCAGTATCATAAGAAATAATCAGAAGTTTGCAATAATAATGATAAAATAACAGATATATTCTGTAAATAAATAATAATTTTACAACAACAGAGCATCAGCCCTGGCGCCGTAAAAACAGATATGGCATTCGAAGTCTTCCCCGACGCTAAAAAACACTTACCTATGCTACATGATAAGGATATTGCAGATGCAGTGATCTACTCCCTACAGGTGCCGCCTCGCGTGCAGGTATGATTATTACAGAATAATATAATAATTTATATTTTCTTTATTCCGTATTCTTTCTTATTTCTACACCGTAAATCTGTAAAAAAAAAAATTTTTTTAAATTAAATTTGAGCAAAATAATAATTATCTTGAATAAATAATAATTAACATATGCATGTTGCGTTATTAAATTAAACACACACTGCCGTATTAATGGCACGCACTCAGGCAGTCGGTCGCACTGCTCTGCCGTGTCGAGCGCTTAAAATTGATCAATTTTCAAAACGCTGTAATTTGGCAAAAATCATCGTAGACAAAAAATTAAAAAGTATATGAAACATGTACTTTTACGTTCAATAGGACGTTTTTAAACAAATTCTTTATTTTAACACTTCTAAATAAATTTGAAAAAACAATACATATTTCAATACCCTGTAGCCTGATAAAACAATTTTTATCGCAAAACTTGTGACAAATGTCAAAAACTACAACATTTTACCTACACTATGCGGTTTTTTTTTTTAATTTTGCTACGATTTTTTGTCGGAATTATACGACTTTAAAACCAACCCTACATTTTGGGAAAAGTAACGTTTACCATCGGCAGCAGCATTACGTAGTAAAAATACAAATTTAGCTTCAAAGTCGTGTAACTTGACTAAAAAAAATCGTAGTAAAATGTAAAAAAACGTGTTTTGTCGGTAAAATGTTATAGTTTTTGACACTTGTTATAAATTCCGTAAGAATAATATTTTTATTGCATTGCAGTGTTGAATGTACGGAATTTTAAAAACAAAAGAATTTATTCTTTCGAGTTCATAAAAATAAAATATTTTTAAAAAAAATTAAAAGCACATAAAAATACAAACTTGAAGATTTCATCAAAGTTTTTTCAATTTTTGGTGTGCAAATAATTTTTGGTGTGCAAATGATTTTTCGCCGAGTTTCAACGATTTAAAAATTAGCTCAATTTTGAACGTCGAAAAGTGATTTCCATTTTTTGTGAAATACGAAGTATAATATGATGATACAAATGTGCTACTCAAATAACTTCAATATGTTGTATTACAGTAATAAATTGTAAAAATTAATTTTAGTTTAAATTAAACATTAATTTCATTCTAATTACACAATTATATTTTATCTGTTGCAGATATGGGAAATCACAATGGCGCCAAATGATTGGAGCATAAACGATTTTGTCGCAGCTAGGTCTAAGCAGTTGCAAAAGCTTGACGAAACAAAAAAGTAGAACAACGAAACAACAAAATGTATTAAGATAAGATACATCAAAACAAAAAATAAATAGAGAAAAATAGAAACTTTAAACTAAAATTTTCATATTTATAATTTTTCCAAAACTGGGATAACTATTTTTATTATAAAAAAATTAGAAAAATTATTAATTGTATTTCTCAGCAGTCCTTACTTTCTTTTAAGCTGTAACGGTTGTAAATTTATATGTAAATAACATTAACTATATAATCTGAAAACAAAATCGAAAATAATTATAAATCGCTTATTAAAAATGATGTAGGATTACGTTGATCTGCTCTTCTGTAAAAAAATAACTTAAATTACCGATAACTTAATAAATGAATAATAATGAAATTTTTGCATACCTTGCTCTGAAAATGAAATCGGTAGCGTTTAAGTAATCGAGTATATTTATTTCTCTGTAGATTTACGCAGAGTACAATGCTAATCACACACACAATGTGTCTCTGTGTAATATATTAATATATCTCTCGTTACGTTTACAATTTCATTACATCACATCGAACGGACATGGTGCTGGAATTGCCGGTTATGTACACATTCTTGTATTAAATTGTGTTGGAAAATGAAATTAGAGAATGTACAATCATTGCGATTTGTGACACATTTAGAAACGATCAACGTCAATGGCATGGCACGGACTCGCGTCTTCGTCCGCCAAGATTTACAATAATCGAGATTAACGAGATTACGAATAATATATCGGACGTATTGATTCGAGAGAAGTAAAGGGAGACTTAAGACAGGAAGAAAAATTCATTTTGTGTACCTTTAGCTTAAGAATTAATAGTATTGGTCGAGTATTGTTAAAATTTCTTTGTCATCTCGAACGATCGCGGCGTTCTCGCTCGACTCGTCGAATTGTCTGTTTAATTAATCGCTTACTTATACCAACCATTGAAAGGTAGTTTGTGTATAAAGCGTAATAATGCATACACGCTCTGTAGATGCCGGCGCCGCTTTATTCTTTCTCTTTTCTATTGTTAGATTTGCATCATGGTCTCGCATTACGCGTATATCGTATAAGGAAAGGCCAGTATTAATTTAAGGAGAACTCTAGATGATAAAATGACCGAGTCACGTGAATAAACTCGTAATGCGAATAACTGCGTCTAACGCATAACAGAGTTACAGTTAGCCTTTGTTTTCCAAGCTTGAAGCCGAAAAGCACACTTTGCCGTTTATTCATTGAGAACGACGTCAACAATCCAAGTGCGAACTTTAGACTAAAACCCGCGGATTTTATTCACGTGATTCTGATTCGACAATTTTCTTAATACAACCGTGTGATTTTAATATATTTTAATTCTATCACGCGTTTTGGCCCCTCGTCCGCTGCAGGAAGAAAAATTACAATTTTACGCAACCGGCGTGTAGCCAGTAACTAACATTTGATACTTACAAAAGAATTAAGCTAATTTTATGACACCTTATACCGCCAATAATACACAACATTCGCACCTCTGCAACAAACAAAATAAAATAAAAGTGATAAGATGAAACATTCTGACTTATACAACTAATAATTGTATAACGATTGAAAAACTTTCACTAGAAATTAAATAAAAATAAGCTTTAATTGAGCGTAGCAGCTAACCTTTTGGATTTCAGGCTTCTCTCTGAGCCTTCTATATGTAAGTTTTTGATTTAGTTCAATTAGATCACGCTAGAATCGCAAAAGGACAGTAAGAAGCAGATAAGCGATAGTTATTCATTGTATTCAGTATTCTGAAATATTTGTTGCGCGATCAACAGCAATGTGAACTGAAAATGAGGGGAATTAAATAAATACAGGACGGATATGTTCAATCTCAAAACTTGTGAGATTATCCTATACATCTTCTATATCGATATATGTATATAATATCTCTGTGACGATAAAACGTTTCATTCGAAAAATTTGCTAATTCTGTGTTCTATAATATACGCAATATTTATAGCGATTTCTCCATAGAGCCTTACCTCAAGTTATTGCCACGTACGTAAAATCGAAGTCGGTTTCGTCAGTACTTTCATTTATCATTTGTTATAAATCTAATGAACAAGACAAAACTTTTAAATCTAATAAATAAATAAGATCTCTCGAAACTTTTTTTATCTAATTAAAAAAATCACCTCTCAAGTACGCTTCGTTTTCTTACACAACCTAACTAATATGCACAAGAATGTGCCGAAAATATACATACGTCTATAAATCATGGAATAAGAAATCTACAGTAACGGCAGTAATTTCCGTGTGCGATAAAAAGTAAAAGAGGCAGAACAAACTTCAAAATTTTTGACGACACCGAAAGACTTCGATTCTCTTACGCGTATGACATGGAACGATACGACGCATTGACACAATGTCAATCGTTACTCATCATGTCATGAATTTATGCGTGTCGCGACGCGCACTCGTTCACGGATATGTTTAATTACAAGCTTAAGTACGGACGTGTGCGTCGCTACGCGCGCGCATTTTATTATCGCAATATTGCGAGGAGTCCAACAAAATAACGTTCTCTTTTTCTTTCTCTATTCATATACATATATATATAAATATATGTACATATACACGGAATAGCGTACGATTCAACACTAGCCGTATCTTGTTATTTGCTTTTTTTTTATACATTACGTACACATACATTAAAGCTGCACCAGTACGTGTATATGGATACACATCTAACGAACAGTATGTACAACGATGCTTCGCTTTCCGCGGATTTTCTTTGCAGCGGCTAATTAATAAACTCGAACAAGAGACATCCATGTTCCCGACTCCGTGCCGGCCCGTTGTAAATGGCTAGCGTAACATTTTGCACGCTGCGTTTGCAAAACCCGTGTCGGAAAAGCATCAAGCCGCAGTTATTCGCGAAGACTCTTTCTTTTCGTTTCTGTATTAAAAATGAACCAAAGAGATTGTTAAAAACGCAAAATCCTTGTGCAATATTCATCTTGTGCAATGCCTGTCGGCAAACGATAAAGAAAATAGCTGCGTAAATTTTCTGAGATTCTTATCCGATAAGTACGAACATCCTATAATCACCGTTGATAATTATAATTGATTTAGAAATATGTAGATTCGTTTTTCTAAGAAGATTTAGCTATTACGAACGCAACAAACGTAGATTCTTTAAAAGATTCAAATGTGTGTTACATTGTGTGTTACATTTAGCGTCGCTAAAACTTTTCTAATTAAATTGCAAAAAAAAAGATTATTTCCTGTCTAAATAAAATAACTGAAATAAATTTTTCTCTTTGGAAAACACGATTTAATTATTCCTTTCGTGTCAAGAAATGAATCGGAAAATCTCAAACAGTAGATTAAATAATATCTTTTCACGTCGCGTTAAAACAGACGAAATACGGTTTAAAATGACTCTTTTGATTTAGAATCCCGTTAAACTTTCCATTGATATTAACAAGTTACGCAAACGTAAAATCTTAAACAAAAAAATAAATAAAAAAGTTTCTAACCTGAAAAAAATGTCCAACCATTATAACATCGGCGGTGATTAAGTCGTGAAGAGCTGTAATTAATGAGATCATCAAGTGATATTACATATTGAGCTGTAGAAAATAATTAGTTAAGATATTTTTACGAATATTCTACGTGAGTAGCAGAACAAGTATGTGATTCGGGCCTTTGGTGTTAATCTAAACAAATTAATCCTCCTTACTATATGTTACGGATCTCCATTCATCTAATATATGTACGACATATATACTTCTATTTGTACTACCGAATGATGCTTGGCTCTCATTCTCTCTCGTAAGCGTAATAAAGAGTCTGTGAATTTCTGATAGATGCCATTTCAATGCAATCACGAGCTTTTCCGTAGCCTAAAACTACAGATACTCTTGAAAAATACAATCGCTCGTTGTATTTTTCATTCTTCGGCTGGAGCTTGCACACCTCCGCCATCCTCGTGATTACCGCTAGCTTTCTGCTCTTCCTCTTTTTGTGCTTTGGCTTCGGCATCTACAGACAGAAACATTGATTTATCGTAATCCGCAAACCTCATACCCGAATTGTGTGATAATTGTACCTCGAACCGCCTGCTCCTTCCAGATCTTCTTATTCTCCGCGAGACACGCAATCCAAGGTTTGCCAATTTTAAACCTTCTATTTTCCCCTCCCGAACCTGCAATACATTATTAAGTAATTAGTTAAATCGATCTTTAGACTAATCTTTAGACTAATATAATTAATTTTAAATTTATTCACATATAAAAATTTTTTTTAAGGCACAACAATTAAAAATAGCATAATCAATTAAAAGCAATGTGTGTTAAAAATAATCTAACCGTTGCTGGGCTCCTCCGGCGCGGTATCCTTGACATTGAGTGGCGCGAGAACGGTTTCCAGCATGTCGCTGCATACTTGCATGCTAGGCTCGACAATGAACTCTATGAATCCTATTTGAGATTCAGCTACCAATGTATTATTGCGATCGCATAAGGGAGAAAATGGCAATCCGAGTTCTCTTTCTTTGTCGCCTTGTCTGAAGAACTCTTCGAGAAGTTGCATCGTCCATCTACGTATTGAAAATTACGAATTTATCAGTGTAACATAAAGATTGTGTTTTTTCTGTTTATTAAATTATACATCAACAGAGACGAGAAAAAATCTTTATTGCAATTTTTCCAAAAAAAAACATTCTTTTCTATCATAATTTTTTGGAAAAGAAAACAAAGGAGTTATTAACATTCTCCATAAAAATTCTTACTTGTGATGGAGATCCCATCTTTTAGCGGGATGTGAAATGTCGCAACAGTGAAGAACCAAACTGACGGCTTTACTCTTGTCCACACTTGGCTCCGCCAGAGTTAGCAGATTCTTCATGTTCTTTAACTGTTGAAAGTGAAAACTCATGTCGGTAGCAAGAACCATGTCAATCACAAGCGATCGGAATTCTCGAAATTCTTCCCTCGATAAGTTTTGCAATATGTTGCAATCATCTTCTCTGAGTATCCTATAATATACAATTGTATTGAAAAACACTGTTATGCGAATAGAGCATTAATGCTATTTCTACAAAAAGAAATATAGATTTTATAGTATTTGTTTTTTACTAAAAAGGATAAAATATTATTTCAATAAAAAAGCTTTAAAAAAAGATTAGTTATTATATAAAAAATTAAAAAATTACTTAACTTTTTTACACGTACTTGTAACAAATATGTATTATAATATTCTAAATTTGTGATTATGTAAAATTAAGATAAATAGCAAATTGTTCAAGAGAACCAGTTCAATGCCAAAGCTCGATACTAATCGCTCGTGTTTTCATTCTTAGAATTTGCACATACCGGAAACTGGCCGAAATGTGATGATTTTCCAATACGGCTCGATCATTGTATAGGAGCGCTGTATCGCTACCGGACATTACGTGGAAATTGTTTGTGGTCCCAGTGTGCTCGTAATCGTGAATAAGCGCTGCCACAAGAGTGGCGAAAATCTCGAGATCGGTCAGCCAATTCTGGAATGAGTAACATCAGTTTGAAGCCAGTTTGTCGAACAAAAAATCGCCGAGGGAGCGATGAAAAGGATCAAATCGAGTAGAAAGAAACTTTTCTTTTTGCCAAACTAATCAACGACTTGATCCTTAATGAACCAATAGAGATCTTCATTCTATTATTTATACCAAACTCCGTGATTTCTGTTCTTTTGTACTAAGAGATGTTGCCAACATTATTTCCGTGATATAAATTTATACTATAATAATGTAAAAAAGCTAAATTGCACATTTACATACGCTAATATATAATACATGTACCTGCAATTAAATTAAAATTAATTGTTGAAATAAGAAACTTGAAAGAAGATTTCGAAAAGGAATTATTGATCTGTAAAATCGATTAATCATTAATTTTCTATAAAAAATTAAGACACAAATTTAATATCACTTTTTGCATTTCATAGTATGATTCAAGAAAAATATAAAAATAATAAATGTATGAGTACAGTAGCTTCTTCAAACACACTCACCATCAAGCCTGTTTGACACAGGATGTAATGCATCGTTTGCGCAACATCGGCAGCGTGAAGGTTGTTATGGTATGGATTTCGATGCCTGCAATAACCTTCCTCGACTCTTCCGAGGAAGCACTCCAAAACTGCGGGAGGTACTTTAAACTTGTGAATCATACCGTATCGATTCAGGAGATCATAGCCTAGGTATTTCACCGGCGTGCCCAAAGCGGCCTCGTTCAAGGAAAACAAGTCGAACGACCAGTCGTCTAAAGTCTTGAACAATGCAAAGAGAGCAACTTAAATATAAAGTTCCGAGAACATTCAATGTCTCAATTTTCATTATAATAATTTGAGCGATATCTCCAGCTAACGCGGAGTTGGTTTTTCCTTCATTAATCAAACCACTCATAATTTCTGGTCAATAACGAAGAAGCAGTTTAACTTTCTCAAGATGCACATCAAGTATCAATAAGTTTTACATTTTGTTTTGAAACCAGCTTTTGAATTGATTAATTAAATGGACCCAAAAATATTTAATATATCATTCTGAAGCTCTTTTGCGATACACTGATTTCATTATTTAAAAATTATTCGCACCCCATTTCTTTCCGATTTCTACTGCCTACAATGCGAATATTCTCTAGCTGGTTTACCTTAAGCACTTTCACGACTTCCGGCGGAAATTGCATGAGGGCGGTATTCGTGACCCTCCTGTAGATCCGATCGACGAATATGCCCGCTCGGATGGCGTGCGCGACCGAGCGGAATTTTGGCTTCTCGTCGGCCTTCCGCCTGGTGGTGGCGAGCTGCCTGGTAAAAGTCGACGCCAACCACTCGCGCACTTCCGGCGGAACCGCATCCGGTTGCACCTCCGACAGCTCGTCGTCTTCGTCCGCAAGTCGTCTAGAGGGGGAAATCGCGAGGCGCGATGTTAGATCGGCGACGAGCACTGACATATTCGATCATGATCAAAACGCCTACCTTCGTTACGCTCGATCGAGTATCGAGCCGAGACGCTCGATGTCCTCGAAAACTGAGCATTGTACTAAAAAATACGCTAGGACCCGCGCGAATAGGCTCGCTCTACGGAAACGCAAACGAACCGGATAGCATCTATTTTCCGGACTAACATCTATTTTCCAATACGCTACGTTATTTTGTGTCAACATGATTTATGCTACCTATTTGTCTTTCCTTTCTCTCACACAAAATGTGTATCGTGAAAATTATGGCTCTATAGATCGCCGGAAATGATTATTTGTGTAGAAGTCATTAATTTTCTGATCATTGCGTAACGCAAATGAATTCCATATATGTGAAATAATTCGTCATCCTTTGAATAAAGACAAACGATTCGTGACTACATTCGCGATACGATCAATATTACACTACGTTCTATGAATGAGTGTAATTAACAGAATGTCCTATCAAAATATCTATGAAAAAAGAATTTTAAAGCCAATTTTTGTTCCTGTTATTAAAGTAATTTTCAGCAGATTTCAATATAGACCATTTTATATAATTTTTTTAAAATGCATTAAAGCTGGAATTCATAGTCAATCATTATTTGACAAATAATTATAGTCTTATAAAATTCTAATTATTTGTCAAGCTGTACTTAATTCTTACAGAAATTTGGATTTCCAATAATTTTTAATTTATAAAACGTTTAATTATTTGTTATTTCAAATTTGTGAATCATAAATTAAATTGCTACTTATTTAAAAGATGAATTTCTTGTAAAGACATAAAAGTTTACTAGCTATACTAAAAAATAAATCATCCGATAATATATGTCGACTATAATATAAATCGACTATAAATTCTTATTAAGGAATCAAAATTTATTGACAGTTTATGAATTCTAAATAATGATAAATTTTTGAAACAAAATTTTATAAAACAGATATTTTGATGATAAATTCATTCAAATAACTGAATAATAATCTATGAATGCGAATCTGTGATCAATTACGCGGTCAATCAAAAATTGAATATTATTTACGACTATGAATATCAACCCAAGTCTATTCTATTCTACACCGTAATTTATTTGCTAAAGTTCAATATTTATAAATTAAGTACTAAAGAATAGACAATTGATTCAACTAAAATCACAGCAATCACATTAGTTCGGCGAGAAAGTGCGCGTTAAATGTGCAAACTGGATAGGAGTCGTGTTAAACATATGAGTGTGTGATGGAGAACAGAATGAGGGTTCGTGTAAAAACTGAAACATTTCAAATGAACCGCTGCAATCTCTCGAGCGTGTTTCTATCTAAAACCTGCTTGATGCACAGATTCACAACAGTGATTTAATATTTGCTCGAGCAAAACTGCGACAGTTGGATCGTCTTGCCAAATAATTTCGGGAGTGTATTTCAGTGCCAACATTAGTGCGACGACAATAATAGCACAAACATTAACGCCAAGATCTGCAAAATGTACCACGATTTCGTTTGAAAGTGCATTCCCGACATCGATCTTGAATGCAGATTACACACAATACAAAACATCCGGAAATCGCTGTCAGAGAACAGGTGCGAAAATTTAGATTAATTAATATCATTAATAACAATTGTAACAAGTAGTTAAAAAACAATTAGCACAACGAAAAATATTTTGTACAGATTCAATAGGTTATGATAAATATTAGTTAGAATTTTGACACGAACATTTATAAATCTAGCTGTACGCAAAAAAGCTTCGCATATCTGCATACGCATTGCACGCAATTAAAAATCGCATTGTATATAGAGTGTCTCAGTAACATCGCGCAGTCCTTTTAATAACAAATTTTATATTTTTGGAGCTAATCGTTTTACACAAAACTTTGCTAAAGCTACTTAAATAAAGATGTTCAAACTCTAAGTATTCTCGCAATTAAGTTTAAAATAAAAATATTGTTAAAATAATCTTGCACTAAAATTAATCACGATATAAGAAACTTAATATTTAAAATTTTTGAAAACGGTGGATTTTAATTTAAGATTTTGATTAAATATAGAATTCAGATTTTGATTCGTTAAGAACTTTGAAATTTTTAATGCTTGCTAACTCTGTGACTATCGATCACCAAAATAACCATCTCAGTTCGATCCTGTAATATTAATGACTCGAAAGGACGTGGATCCTGGTACACACCGTATAGTATATGCGAACGAAGTGTCATCGTGTATATAGCGAAAGCTCGAGCGCGAGTGATTTCTCATGCAAAAAGAGCCTGACGCTGCCAAGCCCAGAATTCTAAAGCACGATCCCGCGATCGTGCTCTCGCGATTCGCGCACGAAAGTGAAAACTTTTTTGGAAGAAACGAACCTACGGCGTACGCCCGGACGACACGTGGCGGCTGACTCCACACGCTCGGCATCTCTATAACGTGAAACACGAAGGAAAAACATATATCACATTGAAAGGTTTCACATTGATCTAAGCGTCTTGCTACATCAAGCAAACATCCCAGCGTGCCTGCTGCGTGGGGTGACTTGAAAATTATTTCCCTCTCTTTTTCTCGCACGCTCTTTGATTTCGCTCATTCGTGCTGAAGATCGGCTTCCGGAGTGAGCCATCGTTGTAGTCATTCTCGCAGCATTTTTTCGAGTCACTGCCACACACATACACGCGCACGCGTGCGCGCGCGCGCGTGCGCGTACACACGCACACACAGACACGGCACGTCGCGAGAATAGATTTACAGGGGATGCTTGATTACTGAGGACCGGCGCCCGACGATAAATGTCCTACGTTTATATACATGCACCTCTCTCTCGAGCAAGAACAGTGCAAACGGTTCAGTAGGAAACGGTCGATTATCGTGAGAGCGATGCATGTTGCACGACAGGCAGATACGTCCGACAAATTGAGCGGGTTACACCTAGAAAGACTCTAAGAGAGTAAGATAGGGAGCGAGAGAGACAGAGGCAGGCAAGAGTATGACGTTCCCATGCTGTGTCCGAAAGTGTCGTTTCATTCTCGTAATCGATTATTCCTCTCGTCGATTTACTCTCTCAACTTAGATTCGCGCGCACCAGATGCGGAAATCAAGATAAATAAATTGATAGATGCGGTTAAATGTGGTTATGATGTGAAATTTTAATGCTTCCTGTTGCGCTGCATCGAATTATGTATTTATTCAAATCCGCGTGCCGCGCGAAGCGAGTAAAGGTATCTCAACCGGTATTTACGTTGCAAAAATACAGAGTGAGAGAGTTGTCTCTGCATGTAGGAAATGTAAACGTTCAGTCGATTAATTATGTTGTGCTAATTACATGTACTGTTGATCCAAAATTTTTTTACTTCTCTAGCATTCTTTGGTATTTTTTTTTTCTTAGTACTCCTCTAGTATTCTCTAAGAGAATCGTGTATGCACAACTATTCGCAATAATTTGCAGAAACATGCTAATTGTCTTATGTCTTGAGTGTTAGACTATCAGAATAACTTGAGTTTTTCAACTATCGAAAGATGCTTGCTAAAGAAAGAACGCCACGCGCAATGCGTTATAGTTTTGTGCACATAAACTATAGAACTAGATAGAAAGAGCTATCGACTAGAAGATAACGAAACGCTGACTCGTACCACTTATTAGTCTACGGTACAGTTGGCACTTTACGGTGGAGAGCGACAACTCGGATGTAGCGCGCCCAAGTTTTGGAAGGAAGCTTAATGTTACAGCAAAGAATTTATGCACACGAGCCAATTTTAAATAGAACATCTTGTACAAAAAAACTTGGCTTTAACTGCAACGATTACGCTCTTTATCGAACTTGTGAAAGAAACACAGCGAGATATCTGGCAGATATTGTATCGTGGCTTTTCCGCGGCAATGATTACATGTCAATCGTGCGATTCGTGCACGCAAAATTCTGGCCAATGATGCATATTGACAGGTTGACATTTAGCGGTTGAATGAATACGAAGAAACAGTCGATGAAGAGCAAATAATAAAATGTTGTATAAAATATTAAATGTCATGTAAAATAAAATATTGGAGAACAAAATACAATAACGGAGTTTACATTGCAGAGTAATAAAACATCCATCAAACTTTTATCCCAAATTAGCTTTTTTACGGCATATTGTTCGTCGAAGTTTCGTGAGTCGCTTGCAAAATGCCGTGTATGACGACTAAAGATTTAAATTGTAGTGTGTTTGATTATCCCCCTCGCAATAATTAATGATAATTGGTTCAACGTTCACTTAATTATTAAATTACAGCAAATTTTCCCATCCTCTGCATTAAACAACTCTTGCTTGATGTCAACATTCAAAATCAGCTGTAGCATTTCGATATTTGATAACATTTTTAATTATTTAACAATGTCACCTGTAATAACGATGACGACAGATTAATATAATTTTATACGCTTCCGATAAACAAGAGATCAAAAATTATGTCAATCCATTACTGTTGGTGTTGCAAAAGCGACGCTTTCAGGTAATTGAAAGGCGGGGAGAAACAAAATGCCAATTAACTGCCAAAAATAGCGTCTCGTGGTACGAAAAACAAGCAGACCGCTTCCGTTCATAAAGAGATTATTCGTTCAGTTTAATGTACAAAATATTTCCGGGCGCTCGTTAAATATTGATGTTATATCAATATTAGATAGAGTTCCAAGTTTATCGCTCATCGCCGCTTATCGCCAATGATCGTCCTCGAGAGAAAAATATCTCGCCTCTCGAGATACGCGACAACGTGAACCTATCGTTCGGCAAAAGAGAACGACAAAGAGCGTCGACGGCACGGATACGGAACGGACGGCGGGAGGATCGGTAAAAGTGAGGGAGAAACGAGAACGAGGGCGAAAATCGTGGCGAGGCAAGGGGGAGGGGGGGGGGAGAAAGGAGAAAGAGGAGGGTTGGAGAGGGAGAAACGTGTGGGAAAACGTAGAGTCGTAACGGGGGTCGGAAATGTGAATGTTTCGCAACCTTGCCCATACGGGGGTGCGAAGCTTCCGTTTCTGGGTTACCACCGCGTGGCCCTGTGGTCCGTCCGGGTCCAAGCCGCCCCCTAGGGATGAAGACGTCAGGCCCGCCCCCCTACGTGATGACCGAGCGCACTCATTCCCGCCTGAACTCACCCTGCGGTAGTGCTTGTTAGTTCATGTGTAAAAAAGATCAGGATAATACAAGATTACAGTTTTTTTTTTCTTTTCTTTTTTTTTTTTGCGCTCTTAACATCGCGGCTCCGGCTCATCGCGCTGCTGCGCTCTCATCGATGACTCTCCTCTCGCTAGTACACGCTATATGAAATACTAATAACTCGATGCGTCGTGCTTCACGGCTGCAAAGTGTTCTTAACAGCTGTCATTGCTGAAAGTAAAGGCTGCGGGGGTGTGTGTGAAAGCAGGCTGACCGTAATTCGATGCACACGATTGCTACGAGGCGTGAGCGAGAAATTAGAAGAATGATCAAGCGTTTAGCTCCAAGCGGTCTCAAGATCTCTCGATAATTTGCATACGAAGTGTGTGTGTGTGTGTGTCAGTACAAAGTTTGCAGGTGAAATCGGCCGCGTGCAATTTTTCACGCGCTTGATGTAGAAGAATATGCAATACATCACTTGAATGTGTCATAAACAAATTGTCAGTGATGTTATAAGAATGAAATAAAGACGCGGCAATCTCGGGCGCTTCGATCGTTTGACGCGCGTCAAGTTGCGCGCGAGGATGCGCGTCGCGGGAATGCGTAATAAAAGAGTGCGCATTGCCATATTAAAAAATGTAATTTTGCAGAACTGAAATTAAATGACGAAATACTGTATACAATGTGAGAGAATAATGCGAGAGATCGATAAAAGTTCATTTATTAACGCGTGAGTATCAAATTATAATTGGATGTACGGGCTTAATGAATCTCCGCACGCATTAAACGAGCCAATAACGCGGAAAATCGCGTTAAAAACAAAAATTCACTTGCCTCCTGTGAGGATTGAACTCACGACCCCTGGTTTACGAGACCAGTGCTCTACCACTGAGCTAAAGAGGCGTCGACGCCGAATCCTTTCTCGCCAACCCACAGGAATGATCCTGTTTGCGAGGAAGTCAACGTGCCGTCGTAACGTCGCTGTAATGTTCAGCTACTCGTCGGCTACGCTTTTATATCGCGCGCGCAAATTTATCGTCCAAACGCATTTGCATACAAAATTGATCTTTGTCGATTGTATTGTCAATCGCCGAGTAAATTTGAACAGGGATCGTGAGTTTCATCCGGCACGACGCATCGCGAGGACGAAAAAACTCGTCGAGTTACGGGGGGGGAGGGGGGAAGGAGGGGGTGGTGGACGATGTTGAATTTGAGTTGCGCTTAGCGACGAAATTCTATCGTGTTAGGTCACACCGCGATTCTGTAGCATAACGAGCTAGATTAGAGAATTAATCATAGTTAATCAACTCCGCTGTCAAAGTCACATTCCGTCGATTAGCATTACTGATTATCATGTGAAACGCAACACGCAACCGCAACTATAATACCCGTGCGTGTCCGAGAGATCGACACACAAGTATTACAATTATTAACAAATTATGTATCACGAGAACTTCCAAATTGATCTCGTCCTCGTCGTGTTCGACACAATTACGATATTATTGTCTAAAAGAAAAAAAAAAAGATCATTAACCGCGGGATTCGTGGAGGCGACACACTGTGTGTCGACGTATGCCTGTAAATTTCGGCAGAAAAAGTCGCAAATAATGATTAGTATAGAGATACTGTACTGCTTCTCGCGTTCGTTCATGAGTTGCTCGGAGTTTCTCCTCAAAACTTACTTGGTCTCATCGATGAAAACAGCCTCGAGTACGCGAGCTGCATAATGCAAGTTTCGTTGGAGTAGTTCCGCGGATATCTCCCCGTGTTGGAGCTGCCTCAATAAACACCTCAATCTGCAAAAGAGAAGTATCTCTCGGAGTTGTTCCCTGCACGCCAGTAACATGCCTTCTAAACTAGATGTTCGCGTCCAATTGCTTTCCGATAATTGCGCGACAAGTCGAGATTGCCAGCGCAATTCTACTTAACCCTTCCGAGATTCGAAAAAGCGAACATTTTTTTCTGACGCAGCTTTTTAATCTCACGTTAAATCAAACATTTAGCGCGAAAGTAAATATTGCGATAAATATTATAATAGATGTTATAGAAAGAATGCAATTAATATTCAATCAATTATAAATTATGAATAGAGCACGCTGTATTTAACAAGTCAATAAATAATTCCCGTGGATAATTATTCGATATACGCTAATTGTATTTTCGGATATTATTTGCGGAACATAATCGCTGGCGGAATAGCGATATACGCGAATTATTGGCCAGATATATTATGCGTATTTGAAATATTTGAACTTGATCAATTTTACATTGTAGAAAGAATTATAAGTTTCACGGAAAGTTTATAAAAATAATCAAAACTTATTATCTTAATTACTATGTTAATTCTTTACAATTCCCAAAATTTCTTCACTCTAAAATTATTTTTAAAAAAAGCGCTACTTTTCTGCACTTATTATTACTTTGTACTACTTAGGTCGGAATCTCAATCTACATCTAAGTGTCACGTTTGTGAAAGCCATTAACACCTGTACTGCGATATGATACCTGAGGGCAGCTTTGTCGCACGCGTCGGGGGTGTCAACGGCAGGAAGCGAGTCCGTCGTGAGATCGACATTATCGAGGATCTCATCGAGGTCGACGGATTGGCTCGATAAATACGACGGGGTGTCGGGATTGTGCGGCGGTGGGGAACTTTCGAAACTCCCACCACTGACAGTTTTGCTTTTGCCGGAGCTTCGGCGTACTATCGTCAAAGTGCCCTGTTCTGAAAGGCAATGAGCGTAATCGCTCCGATTAATGCCATTGAATGGAAGCAAATACGCTAAATGATGAAATTTTCGCAGTTAAAGAACCGTCAAAGAGAACAGTCATTACGTTATCAATATGCAATTAGAACTGGGTTTTCGCTATTTCGCTATTGAAAAGTTTGCGGAATTAATTAATGATAATTCTAATTAATTACCTCGATTTGTGTAATAGCTCTTTTTATAATTTTTAAAATTCTGTCACTTCAAAATTACTTTAAAGATATAAAAAATACATCGGGTTTTTTTCAACTAACTGTATTGACTGGTCAACACAATTGTTCTGTCAAGCTTACTTTTATATATAGCGCGTTCTACAGCAAAACATGAATATCGGAGCAAACCGGTTAAAAAAATTCATCTCTGGAAGAAATACGCGTATATACGTCCGATCAATAAATGCATGGATAAAGGCATTGATATGGTGCAGGTAAAGCCCGGCTATTGAAGCGTATCTCGGGAGGTAATACCTCGAAAACTTACTGGCGAGTTGGCCGTTACGACCGGGAGAGGAGGATGGATTGCGCGGCCTCGAGGACGCCATGCCGCTCGCGCCGCTGCAGCCGGTAGCAGCCGCGTTGCTCGCGTTCGCTGCTACGCCGGCTGAGGCCACTCCAATATCGTCTCTTGTGACTCGTCTGTCCGGCGGAGATGCAACTGTAATTTCCAAAAAATAGAGGAATGAATCAGAATTATTCAAATGCTTAATAAATAGAGATTAAAAACGGTACAATTTTTGGTGAAAAAGTTACACCGCCTTCAATTTTGGACGTTAAAATCAGTTAAGCTCTAATCCAGTTAAAGTAATATTATTAGACGCTGACCGCAATTTCCTAATCTCAGAGTTAAATTTCTGATAGAATCTAATTATCTGTAATATATATATTTTCGCTAGCAATTGTAGACGTACAACAATTATTAAATAATCAACGTTTCTGATTGATAGCGTGCTCTTTAGAGCAAGAGTCCCTTTAGTGCAGTTTCCATACTGTCAGAAAATTTTATGTTCCATCTTCTCGCGTTGCGGAAGTGTTAAAGTTTTATAATCGACTTAAGGGTCGACCTTATTACCTATCCAGGAATAAATATACAACTGTAAAACGACTGCATGAGATAGAAGTCTCAATATCATGGTACTTAGATATCTATAAATAATAAGAATGCTCGCATTTGCATGAATCTTTTTACTATATATTCAAAATACGTGTAAAAATATTAAAAACTTATTAGATAAAAAAGATAAAAGTTTAAGATTCCGATAAATCGAACATTTTAATTGGTGCTACATTTTATTGCCCGCCTGCTAAAGCAGGATTACATAATTATTGCGAGTACGGTCTTGAAAACGAAACACGAATCGTCATCGTAATTACACTAATTTGTCGAATGTAATACTACTAAGTGTTTAAAGCCATATCACTGCAGTAAAACCGCGGAGGCGAAACTGTTATCGATCGGTAGCACCTGCCAGTAGTCTGCGAATTAGTCTCACAGCTGATCGATCGCATACGGAGTTACCGAGCGGTCCCATTATGCTAATCACAAATTGAAGTGTTTCTAAGAGCGAGTATCACGTTTGCTATGGGAGATATCTAACGGAAGCGTGAAACAAATGAGCATTAGCATTCATAATACGATCGTGCAAATGGCTGTTAATTGTTTAAAAGATCGGATTAGAAACAGTTCGACGATAGAGAAATATTGCATAACGCGTTCATCAATAAGCATGGGAAAATGATATAAAATAGAAATTTGGAGCGATATAAGCTTAGCTGAAAAAATGGAATCTATCGAAATTAAATCAGTTTTGATTTTCGAAAGTCAGAAATCCAATTCAGTTAAATATAATTTGACCATTAAATTGGAATTATTATTCAACGCGATATGCTTTCATTTCTGTCACGCAGCAAGTCTACCGAATTTGGATCCAAATATAATTATGCATATAACAGGTTTTCCAGTTAATCAAACAGCATTGTTGTTGCATTGTTGTTTGCAGTGTTGTCAGTCGCACGCGCATTTGTCGCGCATCGCTGTTAAATAAATTATCTCCTAATCCTAACATTTATATATTTGTAACACAAAAAATATTTAATTTGGGAACAATAGAAATCAGATTAAAATTAATTTTCTACCGTTGTCATTTAATTTCCTGTATTATAGTTATCGCGCGTATTTTGCCAAAAAATGTGTCAGAATTGTTTTTCAGTGAAAAACCTATTGTGCGGATAAATCGTCTCGATCGAATATCGGTTCTGTGAAAATTCTACTATCCACGTATTCAATGACACGTGGCAGAGTATCAAAGAATATTTTGCCAAAAAAAATAATCGCCTACATGAACGCAAAATTCAATCTCAAAAAATAGACAAATATATATAAATCGTTGAACGGATATAAATTATGTTTTTCTTATTTCTTATTGAAGAAAAAAGGCGTATGAAAATTCTCGCTACTTTCTCTGTAGTATCAGAAAAGCGAAATAAAGAAAAAAATATGAAATTGTATATCAAAGTAGTTGTGATTTGCGCGTTCTAAAATATGTATGAGTCGTTTGTTATCTCTGATTTCTTTCTCCATTTTGTTAAGCACTTGATATTTCACAATTTTTTTCGACATATCAGAGAAGTTAAGTATTTACATAAAATAATCCTTGTATTGATCAATATTTCAAAAGTTACAACACTATCTTTTTTGTCTAATCCTGATATTAAAAAGGACAGTGCCGACTTTAATTTATGTCTCAAGTATTATCTCGTAAACTAAGAATATTTCTCGCAAGAAACTGCCATGCAGCTAAAATTATTTTTATCTAAACAAGTAACATTATGCGAAACGCACAAATATATGTTTATTACAAATAGTGGATGAAATTTCGATGAAATTCAGTTGTGAATCTCGTCATTCCGCTTTGTCATTGCGACGATTTGTGCGAATAAATACGCACATTTTCAAATAATAATTTTGCAGAGTGCTCACTTTCCAAAAACACCTTTAAATGCCCATGCGACGGCGCGAGGAAGGGTTATGAAATTATTCATTGTAAGCGGATAAACAAACAGACGCCAACGGTACGTACGTGAATTATTGCGTTTCACTTGAATAATGCACGAGGCAGCGAGGCAATGGTAAAATGTATACATTTGGTGCATAAAATTCATATTTCTGCCTCTCTTTTTTAATTTACATTTTTACCTTTGCAGACATTTATTTTTGCGCGCCCGGTTGCACACACGATGCACGTAAAATAGTTCGGCCATCGTCACCGACCTGAAGCGTGTTTCATCAACACTGTAATCTAAGTTACTTACACTTATGTCGAGAAAGTGCTGAAGTTGAGCAAGTAATAGCGTATTCCTGATGCCGGTGGTCAGGTAAACACGGCGGAAACAATTTAGATACCGACAAAATACTGGAGAACAGTCGCGCAAAAGCGCGATTACGCAAAATACAAGCTGCAGTGTACCGCTACCACAATCAACACATTAATTGCTATCATTACTCACAGCCGCTTCGCATATCGGCGAACATTTTTTCTCCTAAATAAGAAAAACAACGTCGTCACGCCATGTTTTCAGAAATGCATTAACCTAATGGATACCATCGCATCATCGTATTAGACCCTTGTAACGTCATCGATGAAACGCTTCATATAAATTCAAACACCCAATAAAATGTTTATTGGCCAAACAATTTCGCGAGGCAATCTGTGTAATGCGCGTCTGCATATCAAAGAAACCGCAAGAAGACGTACGCTGCTATGAGAAATTTGGCGTTGTTGCTCAGTGTCGGGTTTGCTACTATTTAAGTCACTAATACGCATTACCGTCGCTGCCATTAGAGGACTAAGCAAAAGGACGAAGTCTTTATCAAGCACGTATGTACCGCGCGTCATCGCGTGAAAGTGCATTTATTATTAAATTTTGTACCGCAGCGAGAAAACAGGATTTCCGAAGGTGCAACGAAACTCCGTTAAGAGCTAGAATTTACAGATAGCGTGATCTTTGACACAAAAACTATTTTATACAACGTCATATTACACATTTGTAAAAATTGCATTTATAAAATGTTTTGAAGAAAAAGTTTATAAAATTATTTTTAAAAATTTCCTAGATATTTTACAAATTTTTTAATGGAAAGATAGTGGAATATGACACGTGTGTGCAAAGAAGTGTTTACAATGTTTGTCCACAACATTTATCTACAATAATATTGTGCAGATATAGATTGTAGATGCAGTAATGTTGCAATGGGTACAGATAAGATAAGCAAGTATGTATTAAAGGTATGCTGACGATTACGTCCAACAGTTCAAATTATTATACGATCAGCTTGAAGATCCAAACTATTTGACGTTCAATCTCGAGATCTGAACTATCCACATTGTTTCATCATCAAGTACTAAAAAACATTTGAAGAACTGGAATACATACGTATAAAATATATATATTGAAAGGTAATTTGATTTTTAAAATCTTTTTTCCGTATTACACACACACACAACATATATAATTTTTAATAGAATTCTATTTTCTCTCAATTTCTGTCGCGAATTATAAAGTTCAGAGTCGGTTTGATGATAAATGTTAATCCGTAAAAAGTATAATTTGTATATAATTTATACGAGTAACAACATTGTAAAAAAGTTACCAGACAAATAAATATTGTGAACTGAAATATTCTGTATATTTCTACACAAACACACTTCATTTTATAGGAATAACAGAAATGTGGAAGAGTACGTAACGTACTTTATTAGATCATATTGAATCAATAGCATGGGATATGCGTATTTCAGTGCGAGAATATGTTCGTAAGACGATTTGATGTTGTAACGAAACTTCATTACTGTAATAAAAGAAATAATTGCGCTCATTTAACTTTTAATAATATCAATACCTGCCGCAGCGCAATGATGATTCTCGGCAAACCACTCGTTTATTAAAAACGTCGGTGGCTTCTGAATAAATGTAATTAAAGGTGTAGGATTTGATATGGCTTCCACGGGCAACAAACTAGAGTCTTGCAGATTACGCGGCCAAGAGCCTTCCTGCCGCCTTTCTCTCCCTCTTTCTCTCTGCGTCATCTTATTTTTAATCGATGCGCTTACACAACAAGATCCAATTAAATGATAAACGTCGACGATCGATAAAACGATATAAGTGAATTCAAATCGAAATTATCTACGCGAATCAAAGACGATAAAAAACAGGATAACATTCTTTACCTACAATATGAAAAAAATGTTCACACAGAAATGATTAGTAGCGATTCCGGTAAATCTTATCTTGATCTTTTATAACACGATAACGAGATATTATCGCAGATATTATCGCACGGAAATTAATTTTTTCGAACGTCTTGATGTTTGATAACATATCACAATATCTACGTTGCAGAATGCGTGAACAATTCGAAAATAGAGCATAGATAATACAAGATAATTTAGTGTGTATAATGTTGCGCATCGACAAGTACAAACATTTAGGAACGTAATTAAATCCCACGGTAAACAGGTCTTGGAGAATTCCCAATTCTCGCGCAGACTAGACTAGGTTTATTTTCATCCGCCTTGTGTCTCGACGATATACGTATAATCAGTGACACGTAGAGTAATGACATCGCAGACGGGCACGACTGAGGGAAAATAATAGCTC